TTATCAATTCTTGGATGGTAATGTTGGACACCCAGAAGATACCGATCCAGACGATTTCAATTATCAATTATCTCAAGCGTTACCTGAAACTGTTGTATCCGGTGCCTCCAGCATCAAGGGAGTTAGCTTAACAATGATGATTGGTGCTTTTTTGATTTCTACTTTCTTGACGATTTAAATTAAATGGTTTCTTTTTCAAACTTTTAATATAATAATTTTTAATAATATAATATAATTTTTATTTTCTTTTTAATGACTTGTGATAAATAAAAAAAAATAATGTAATATTCATTTGTCACGCGGGATATTAAAATTTACGTTTTTTGAAAAAAATTTCTTTCTTTTATAAAATTAATATTTCATGATAAGTTTTCTTTTATTCCTCGGTTAAAATAATTGAAATAAACCGTTAAAAAAAAAAAAAAGCTTTACCCCATCGCGTAACAGTAAAATTTGCAAAACATTCTGCGTCACGTTAACAGCGAAATCAAATTTTATTGAATGATATATTATTACGGCTAATGAATAATTATGCGTCTACTTTTTTTAGGAAGTTTGAAATCCAACTAACTTTTTTCCAAGATCTAGAGATATTAAGCGATCCTGAAAGTCCCAATAAAATTATAAAATTGCAAGTTCTAGCGAAGATTTATTTTTTTAATGTCCCAACTTATTTTACTTTCTTATGATGAACTTCCGCATTTTCTTATAATTAAAATTTTCTAATATCATTTAATATTCCACCAGGAGCAAATAAAATTGCAAAAGGACTTAATGATCATTTGAATCTAAAACAGTATGGATACTTTCCAAAGTTATTCAATTTGAGAGATGAAGGTGCTTTGTTCTCGAGAAAGCTTTTTTCATTTGAATTTTTTTCGTAGGTAGTCAGGTATACGGACAAGAAACGTTCAAAAATAACAGCGAACATATACATATTCGTCATGCTACAGATTTTTACTAAATTATTTCTGCATTTTCTTTAAGAACGGGAGCTCGTAGACATGTAATTATCTTCATCTATAAAAATCATGAATAGTTCATTATTCAAAAATTTTTTGGCAAATTCTCCCAAATCCGTAAATGATTTATCATTTGTATATGTTTCCCGAACAATTAATCCAAGCAATAAAACCCATTTAGAAATTTGAAGAGAAAAATAATAACTATAGTTATTATTCCTATTACTATTACTAAAATTATTTTATATTTCTACTGACATCGCTTTCTTAATTCTCATATTTTCTTCCGGAGATAATAAATCAAATTCACTAGACTTCTCGTATTCAGCATAATTCCTATCTAATTAAATGTTAATAGGTTGTGATAATTTCTTTTTCTTCCCAGTAACTTCCGTATTTTAGATTCATCCAAAGGATTAAATAGGATCGACTTTTCATATTTTAAATAGTAAATTTACTCAATAAATTAAAGAAACTATCCTTTAATTTTTTCTTTCTATCCTAAATTATTAATTGATGTCCAAACTTGGTCAATAAAACAAAGCTTTTTCATCATCATCATAATCATCATCATTAGATTGGTCATAACATGTTGTTGACCATCAATCAATCGATTCTAACTGCTCTATTTTGTCATATTCCTTTTCAATTGAAGGTGAATTTTCACATCTTGTACTGATGATAGGAAGAATGGATTGAACTTCTTTTTTAAAATGAATAAATCCTTCTTTAAATTTTTTAATATTTTGAGTTTTAATGATCGAGTTAGTTTCCAATTCTTGATAAAGAATCGATTAATTGTGATTGAGTATCGATTTTTTTCTTCATTTTGTTCACATCATTTTTTGAATTCAAAAGAAGTATCCATAGAATTATTGAGTTCTCTTTTTATTTCTGACTTCCTTCAAATTAAACTCGTTAATAACAAGAGAACAAATACCCGAAATAATGAATATTTTTAAAGGACAGTCTTTAATCGTTGAAACCATCGAATTAATCAACCTGAAATTATATCATATGACTTGAGGCGACTTGTTTTATGATCTAAAATATTAGCCCGAATTAATAAAACTTTCTTTTAAAACTAAAAATTTGATGTGATATATACTTATTAAATATTCCTTATGATTGCTGTTGGTAACCTATTTTTTTTAGTAAATTAAATCTTATGCAAAAAATTATATATATATATATATATATATATTGTAGGATTTTTTTGTTTTATTGTAAAGTATTTATATAAATATGTAGTTATATCAGAAATAACATCCAATTTGAAATTATATAATAAAAATAAAAAAATATATAATTATTTATATTATTAAAAAACATATATATATTAATAATCTTAATAGCATTAAAATGTTAAAATTTTAATTTAATTAAATATTTTTAATATAATTTATATTTTAATATTAAAAAAAAAATTATTATTTAATACTTAATAAAAAAAAAAAATATATTTACAATTAAATTTATTGTAAAATTTATTAATATAATTTAATAAAAAATTTCATAATACATAATAATATATTAAACAAATACTAATATAATTACTTTTTAAATTGTATATATATTTTATATTATAAATTTAATATATAGAAGATTTGCTAGTAAAATAGGATTCTGAGAATTTTTAACTAAAATTTTTTTAAATTTTATTTTTATTGCATTTTAATTCAATAACATCAATAACTAAAATACAATAAAAATTAAAATTTCTTAGAATTTATTTTTCTAGCAAATTTCATATTAATCATTTTTAAAATAATTTAATTAATATTTTCTATTAATTATCAAATTATTCTTTTATTATTTTTAATTAATAATAACTTTTTAAATTTTATTTATTTAATTGTAATATTTTATATTAAGATCAAAATAATTTTAGTAGTAATATTATTAATATAAAAAGTTATTTTTAAAATATAAATCTTTTAGTAATTAAAAATGGCATTTCAAAATAGTTACAATCAGTGTATAAAAATTTAAGTTAAAATTTATGTATACAAATTAATAAATTGTTACTAAAATAAGAAAATCATAATAATTTCTTATGTAAAATTATTTTTTTTGTATATAATTTATCTATTTTTAGTAATAAATTTTATATATTTTATATTGTGTAATGTGTGTATACAAATATTAATGTACACATAGATTTTACATATTGGTTGCAGTATTATAATCCATATAAAAATATAAATTGCAATTGCAGATTGCTATTAATAAGACTTAAAAATTATGAGTAAGTCTAATTATGATGCTATCTTTATTGATAATAATTTTTTTTATATTTTATATTATAATATAAATTTTAATTTATATAAAAGTATTTTATTAATAAAATTTAATATTTATTTATTTTTTAAAATAACTTATAAAAAAAATTTATATAATATATTATATAAAATTTATAAAAATTTTTATTTATTAAATTATTAAATTTTAATATAATAATTTTATATAATTTAAATATATAGTATAAAAAATATTATTAATAAACCAAAATAAATATAAACTATGATATTAGCCATGAAGTTAAAATAGATTATTTTGATTATTTGAAATGGTTGAAATGATCAAAAAATTTTAATTATAGAAAGGTTTAAAAGTTACAATGATCAAAATGATATTATATCACATAATTTTATATATAAAAAATCTAAAAAAAAATGTATAATCTTAGTCAATATCCCTTCATTTTTCATAAAATAACTACCATTTGATTCTTTGTGATTAAACAGATTCAATGAGATAAATATTATTAGTTTTGTAGATTTTGTATCAGCCTATCTTGAAATAATTGTGATCATATGGAATAAATGCTAAGAAAAGGAACAAAATTCTCAAAATTTTCAAAATTGATTTCTAAGTAAATAGATACAATTTTTATCACTTAATCCAGAATTTTATTTATTTTTAAAAAAGTTTTTTTTA